GTTTAATATAATATATTATGTTTAAGTCATATTACTATTTAAAATGAAATTCATAGTCACTTGTAAATCAGAAAATACTAGTGTTTTGAATAGTAAATAAGTTTGGTAATATTATAAAACACTATTTTGACGATTTAAAAAATTTTGGACGTCTCTGGCCTAGGTATTTTTTGCTAATTTATTAGCTAAATGTATAGTATAAAAATCTTAATAAAAGTGGGCAAATTAATTGACTTGGATGACAGACCAGTATCATCATTACTTGAAAATCAATATTGAACTTATCAACTACATTAACACTAAAAAACAGTTTGTACGACAATTTTTACAAGCTTAATCTTTTAAAGTTCAGGAACGCTGATCTATGCTATATAATAATTAATGAAACATGGTACCTTTATTCAAAAAATACATTTACTTTGTAATAATATATTTAATATTATTTATTTTACAGGTTGAACTACCAAGTACACAAATACCTATATTATACAACTTATTCTGGTTATTTTTAATAATTCCTATATCATTGGGCATTGGATTCTATATTATGTGTAAACGTAAGAAAAATAAAAATCAATTGCCAACTGTCCCACCACCACCCGGCCTACAAAACTTCCCTGGCATACGACGTAACTCCCCCACAGCACCTCCGGTCCCCCACCCCCTGGAACCACCGCCAAAATACACGGAAATCGATGAGGAACCTGGTGGTAGTAGTAGCACCGGGGACAGTATGATACAAACAGTGTATAAGATACATGATATGCCTGTCCACCCACCACTACCTATAACCACATACGCCCTACAGTTTACTCCCCAACAACTACAGCAACGCCAACCTCCAGCTTATACTGAACCTGATACTATTAATGACCTTGAACAACCTGGATCAAATGAACACGACCAAGTTCAAGAAAGTATAGATATTATCGTTACTGATGATCGTCAAGGAGGTAGTGATGATCAAGGTCCTATAATATCTAATGATGCAGAATATAATATAGATCAAAGACCTTATATGTTTACCAGGCATTTATCAATTGACCTATCTCGTGCACATAATGTCCCACCTGCTCAAGATCAACCAACACCTTTAATACCTTTACCTGTAATTAATTACGACCTTGGACAGGATTTATATATTAATACACTTTAAATTAAAAATACTTTTTTGTTATATTAGAAATTCTAAAAAATAAAAGTTTCTTTTTTAATTCAAAAAATGAAATTGTAAAAATAACAAAACTAACTTATTTACTTGCTTATAAAATTCAATGATTTTAATAATATGCATGCTATATAAAATAAAGTTAAACCAAAGTAAATTAATAACAAAACTTGAATTTAAATCAACAAATGCAAATTAATTTGTTAAAATCAAAATGTTATGTCACATGTGACTATTAATTAATATAGTATTGAATAACAAAAATAGACTTTGAAACAATCTGGGCAAATTAACCTGTTCAGATAATCAGTGTTTAAATGTCGCTGCAAACCAATCAATTATAGAGTATTATATACTGTACATGTTTATTAAAAGAGATATTATTCAAAAAAAGTAAGATATTAAAACAATGCCAATTAGTAAAACATATCAACGGGGACACCAAACTAGGTGTATTTGGTTATTTTTTATTTCAATTATTTGTAATTTGTAAAATAACTTTTAACTTTAAGTTTCCAGTAATTTAAACAAAAGTTATTTTGCATCTGTATTGAAAATTTAATTTATATAATTTATATAATATAAACTTAGAGTAGCTATATCAATTTAATTATATATTGCATACTTCAATTCTACATACTTGAGAAATTGATTAACATTGATAAATTAATAAATAATTCTATTCTATTGTATTTATTGGTACAGTATAAATATATTTCACTATTAAGAAAATATTTTTTAAGATTATAACTTAATATTTAACAACCTTTTAACATGCTATTATAAAACAAAACTTATTTGAAAAACTATGAAAATTATATTAAAATTGTACGCTTTCTATATTAGTATATTTATTGTGGGAGCATTGGAATACAATAAAACTGACCATGATACAAATTATAAAAAATCACCAAACCAAATGCAAAATACTGACTACGTTATAAATCGCGATTACTGTTCAGCTGGTCGTATGTGTTTAGAGTCGGATAGTATTTGCATTGATAATAGTTGTTATTGTGATACTAATTTTAAATATGACACTGGTGATAGTAGATGTGTCCGGTATAGTTGCCAACAAGCCCCAAATGTTCCAGCTGACTGTAGTCCCAAACATGACCCGTATAGGCGGTGCACTGACCGGGGGTGTGAATGTTGGACTGGCTATAGAGTAAATCTAATCACTAATAAATGTGTATGTATTAAAATATATATTTTAGCTGTCATATAATAATTTTTAATAATAATATTAAACAAATAATTATTAATATAATATTATACATAATATTGTACTAACTTTATTATCATAATAATATTATACCGAAACTATATGTTTTATTTTAGGAAAATTATTTTAAAACCTAGTATAAACCTATATAATAAATTAGAAAATGATTTAATATTATAAATGATTTCATTAACCTATTATATGATTTTATAGAGTTAAACCGTAAACTAAAAAATTATAATTATTATTTATATTATAATAAACAAGTAAATATTGGATATCAAAATTCACGAGGCTCGTTATTTTTAAATTTAGGCTCCAGATATACATATACAGGATCTAGTAACCACTAGCACGGATAGTCCAGACATACCCACCCCACCCCCAGACAGTGGCACCCACTCATCAGATGACGATGGTGGGTTTAATTATCTACACCTGTCGTGGGGCGGACTTATCGTACCCATCGGGATAGGTATCTACGCTTACATGAGGTGCAGAAACAGACCACAACCCCCACCGGCAACACAGGTCTATATACCGGAGCCACAACCAATGCAGGTGTATAGACCACCTCCACCTGTGTATGAACCGGAACCAGAGCTACCGGAGCTGTATATTATTGAAACAGAAACCACAATCTCTGGCCCATCAGCACCGCCAGCCCCCCGACCATCCAGGGGTGGGGCACCGCCTCCTTATACGGCTACACGAGATGGGGATATATACAGGACTAGAGATATACCTGAAGAGGATTATGACGATCCCGAACCTATTAAGATTACTGTTAGGGAACGGGTGGTCAGATTGATTTAACCTGAAACAGATTAATTAAGTATTTTATATTTTATTTAGATTAATTTGTTATAAAATTTTGGTTTTGCTTTAATGTATACTTTATTTTGTTTTAAAATTATACATTTAAAGTTAAATGTATAATAATACTGTACTAATATGATTTTTGTAAATATAGTTAAAATGTCCTCTCATAACAAACAAAAGTAACTTAAATTGTAAATTGGTCGTATTTGTTTAGGCCTAAATAGTATTTACATTGATAATAGTTGTTATTATGACACTAATTATAATTATGGGACTGTTAAATGTAGATGGGTACAAACAGACAAAATATTGTTTTCGCGTAAGATATTTTGTCAAGTATAAAATTTATATGCAGTGCACTGACCGGGGGTTTAAATGTTGGACAGGCTATACAATAAATATAGTCACTAATAAATGTCATACCGTACTATAATAATTTTAATAATATTATTTTGTATAATTTATACATATAAATATTAATATTATATTTTACTAACTAGTTTATTAGTTTATTTTAATGAGTTAAACTGTAAACTAAAAATTATAATTATTATTTATATTATAATGAACGTATTAATAATTAAATTTGGCAAACAAAATTCACGACACTTAATTTTTAATTTTAGCCCCAAGATATAGTAACCTCTAGCACGGGTAGTCCAGACATACTGTATATACCCCACCCAAGCAAGTTACATCCACTTATAATAAGATCGTAGTTTTAATTATCTCCCCTGTCGTGGGGCGCACTTATCATACCCATCGGGATAGGTATCTACGCTTACATGAGGTGCAGAAACAAAACACATCCCCCCAACCAAAGGACCCCACCACCACCAGTGCCACTAATTAGCTCTCTCTCCACTTAATGGTC